TTTATAGCAAACTAAACAACCCACCCACACTTGGTGGGGGTAAGGTTGTGATGTTGGCATGTCGCTGTTGCTTTGTGTCAAGTAGTCAAAGTCTCCCGCTTCCATCCCGTCTTGTGCGGTGGTGCCGCTCCGCTCTGCCTGCAGAGTCAGAATGCACTCTGTCAGCCTCTGTCAGTAAACAGGTTTGACTATATGACACATTCACTGGCATATTTACAAATAATAATACTATATACACTTATGTGTATATTCATAGTACACACAGGGGTGTGCACATTCAGAAGACGACATGTAACATGCAATGTTAATACAATTCCGTCTGTCCTGTCACTATCAAAGTTTGACTGTCAGTCATCAGGTTTTGGTTTGTGTAACCTTTTGTCTGTTAGTGTGTATTGTATCAGTATAAGTTTTACACCCCTTGTGCAAGAAACACACTGACAAAAGAGATCAGATTAGCAAAGAGGAGCATGGCCTTTTTAAAAAACTAAAGATCAAAAAGGCACCAGGCCCAGATGGTGTGACACCCTCCTGCCTGAAAGCTGGCTCCTGTCTTCACACAGATCTTCAAAAGATCACTGGAGCTGTGTGTAGTCCCCCCTGCTTCAAACACTTCACCATCATCCTGGTCTCCAAGAAACCCCCCATCAGCAAACTGAATGACTACAGACCTGTCACCCCGAGATCTGTAGTTATGAAGTGTTGTGAGATACTGGTGTTGGCCCACCTGAAGGACATCTTAGACCCCCCTGCTGGACCCCCTGCAGGGGCCTACAGACAGGAAGCTGAGCAACTGGCCCTGTGGTGTGGTCGCAACAACCTGGAGCTGAATACGCTCAAAACTGTGGAAATGGACTTCAGGAGGAGGCCCCCCACTTTATCCCCCTTCACTATATTTAGCAGCACTGTACCACAATCCCACAGAACTTGAAGTGGTCGTCCAAAATCAGCACCATCACCAAGAAGGCACAGCAGAGGATGTACTTCCTGCGCCAGCTCAGGAAGTTCAATCTGCCCCAGGAGCTGCTGATACAGTTCTACAGAGGAATCACTGAGTCTGTTCTCTGCTCTTCCATCACTGTCTGGTTTGGCTCAGAAACCAAACAGGACAAGTACAGACTCTAGAGGAAAGTTAGGACTGCAGAAAGAATCATCGGTGCCAGCCTGCCCTCCATGGAGGACCTGTACACTTCACGGGTCAGAAGAAGAACGGGCGGAGAAGATTTCTGCAGACCCCTTACACCCTGGACACAAACTGTTTGAACGGCACTACCAGACACAAGGACAGTTTCTTCCCCCGGGCCATCACTCTCATGAACAGCTACATCATGTTTATACATTGAACAGGGCAGAACAAACACCACAGTGCAATAACTTATAGATATAATCATTGTACATACCAAATAACTATTTTTAAACTTGTGTATATATGTAACATTGTTTTTTTGTCTTATTTTTTACTTGTTATCTTGTTATTCTGTCCTTTATTCTGTTTCTATTCTATCTGGTGCACAGTGGGGGCCACTGAACTGGAGTCATTTTAACTTTCTTAGCAATAAAGATTATGATTGATTGATTGTTCTATAGTTTACTAGGTACTGAAAACTGTTTATGTATAATTCACAGGCATGAATTTCACATTAAATTTTTAAAAAACATATGTATACATGTCTTGTTTCTGCTCTCACTTCTTTTGAAACACAAATCTTCATAGCATGATGGTGGAAACCAATATGCAGTGCTATCTTTTCTCTCTGAAACATTTGAAACAAATCCAGTAAGGGCCATCTGTGGTGGATAAAATAAGCATTTTAAATAAAACACTTTGAGTCATGTGGCAGTGTAACAAGAAAACAAGCACTGGAGGAAAAGCGGTGATATCATATTGTCGTCTGCTTTCTGTAAATGGACAGGCAACATTTTGTTTATTTTTTCCAATGTTGTCCGCTCCAGTGTTGCTACTCAGTTTGTGTTAAAAGTGTTCAGTCACTGAATAACCTCAGAGAAACATATCACACTTTCAGACCTACCAGAACATTACACAAATGTGTGGACTTTGTCAACCCACAGAAGACATCATTCTCATGGCATTATTATAATTTTTTTCCATCCAGGTTTTCATCTAAATTACTTAAAGTCCACTTTAAGTAATACAATGGACATTTTATTCCTAAGAACAGCCAAAAGCGCACTTTTTACTGTACAAAAGCAGCTGGGGTTATGTGGCACATAGACACCGCAACAAGACAGCAATACTCATGGAGACACAAACTCACTGAGATCCATCACACTGATTCACCCTGTTTACCCAGGTATACTGTACAAGGTAAAGTTTAAGTCAGAACAAGCTTTACTTGTATCTTTTCTATATAGTCAACTTTTACATCATTGTTACTGAACATTTTATATTATATCTTTTTCTGCTTTGCTTTAAAGCTTTTTTGATAAAAGCAGACAGCAATAGACACAGTCACAGATTATGTTTATGTGCCCTCTGCACATCATTATATGATAAAGCAGATACATTCAAATTTAATAGAAACAAACACGACAAACTTCATATAAACAGTTTAGACGATCTTGATCTCAGCACTTTGGAGAGAAAGGGGTCATTGGCCTCCTGCGTATATGTAAAGGTTGTTTATCATGGTTCAAATCATGGTCCTTGTAAAGTCAGGAAAGAAGAGAAGGCAACTGGGTTGAATAAAGTCTATGTATGGATAGAAGCAGGAGTAAACACTAGGCTGTGTAATTCATAACTAGCTCTCACATACGTAGATTTAAGTTCAACTGAGCATAGAAGAGAGGCAAATTGTTGTCATAATCAATAAAAGTTATGGGGTTATAGTTGTAATTCTGAGAATAGCACACACTTTCTCACACACAACACTGAGCAGAACCCACTTAACCTCTTAATCCAAAGGAATAAAAAGCAACATGTCTCCCCATTAGGTCTTTGCTGTTCTTGTCTATCACTTGTCTCTCCTCCTCATGTTTCTTCCTTTGCTACTTTCTGGTCTCCATTTTGGCTCGTAGTAAAATGTTCCATAACATAGTAATAAAACAAGTCCTCCAACCTACTGTATATGAATGGTCGTTTGTCCCTTCCCTCTCATATGCACCATATGGGTCAAGAAAAAAATTGCAACAATTCCAAAATGATTTACAACATACTATATGTCACACTACTAAGCTATATGGAACTTTGCCATCATGGACACAGCAATAAACACCATGGCTAGCTACTAGCAGGCTAGCTAGCGGCAAGCTACTGGAACACTTATCTTGTTTAGGGTTACAGGTAGGAACAAAAAGTTATGGGTCATGTTTAGGAATAAAATTATGGCATGTTCAACAAAAGCTCTTTAAAAACACACGCCAGACACTGAACCTGTGCCTCTAACTCACTTTCTTATGTATGTTAATACTGTTACTAGATGTTGCCAAACTATTACACGTCACATTTTGTTGTAATAATCTCCTGGCACAAACAATGTATACTGTCATACCCTACAGGAGGACGATCTCCAAGAATAACTACTCAACCCAGACTATCTGAGAAGAACCAGTTGTTCACAATATATAAAACATACAGTATGTTGCACTACTTTTGACTCATTAACGTCATCTCATATTTTAGGCCACTTTTCTTTTTAAATTACAATACATTCTAAATTGCATATTGGTTTTTACTGACACTAGGAGTTACAAAGTGCTAATAAAGTCACCCAAATATGCTTCAGTGCTGGGAATTATGCTCATTTTTAAGCATTTTTAATTCACAATTCTGGTGATGTTGGAAGCAAACATAACATATTTTTCATGCATAATAATCTGCCCTGAAAGTTCTAGAGAAAATAATTAATCATACAATGTGCAGTGAGACTTAAGTTTGTACAAAGGAGTGACAGATTAAAGGGAAAATTCAATTAAAAGTGTCTTAGTAAAGTGTTGGGCCACCATATGGAATAGCTCTGAAAACCCTACCCCATCACTGACCAAGCTTCTTTGACCAGTGCCAAAATGACTTTGCTCAGAGTCTTCTGATCAGTACTCTTGATAGGCCTGCTTGTCAGCAGCTTGTGTCCTACATGCTGACAGCCAAGTTTTATTGACCATCACATTGCCAACAGCATGGCTACACTGGGCTGTTGTGGGCAATTCACTTCAGGTACCAGTGACAGATGAAATATGATACAGCGAGGCCAGTTGGAGTAATAGATTCAAGGCTTATCAGATGCCAAAACACTGCACGGTGGTTTACAATATTATGAAATAGGATGTCACAGCGCTCGTAAGAAACCCAGCCGACAATGTCACTGCGTTCTTGTCATCAAGAAATCTTCCAAGTGCTTGCACACGATTGGCGCCTTGCCAGATGATGTTACATTGCTTTCCAGCAAAAGCTGAGCCAGGTTCAAGTTTTGTTGCTTGGCAAGCCTGCATTTATTTGACATGGGGGTCATTTAAATGAATGATATTTTCTTACATGTTTCTGTTTAACTTAGCATGGTCTTGCAAAGGGTATCACGGTGGTTTTATCTCCATCAATCAGACCTTAAAGGCAGTCCTTCCCAAATCCTAACCAAAGAGTTTAACAAATTTTGTCATTTACAGTAAATATACACTCATCGGCCACTTTATTAGGTAAGCCGGTAATATTGTTTGCAATTCAGTGCAACACTTCCGTCTTAACATCCATGCTTATGAAGCTCAAAATGTTTCAGTTTTTGGTGAAATTGTCATAAATGTATAAATTCAGTTATATGTTTATTATTGAGGCCATAGTTAAAGGTGGTGTTGTACATTTCTGACAATTTCTGTTACGTCCGTGGCCCTGTCCACCCCCAGCACCGCATCAGCTGGCATGGGCTGTCACAGTGGCTCCGCCCCTGCACAGGTGGGAATGCATTCTAGGCGGCGAGGAACACCTGCTCACAATTACCAGACTAGTACTTAAGGGGAGGGTTGGTGCGTCCTTGTTGTCAGGTGATCTCTTGTAGTCCTGCTGGTAACCTGTCTTTGTGCTCATGACTAGGATTCCCCTGTGTATGAGCTGTTTTCTATGTTGTTGAACCTGAGTTCAGGTAGTAACGAACTGCATGCCCTTCTTATTTTTTGAAGGGTCGCTTTCTGTTTGAACTGTTTGGACTATTGTGGACTTGTTGGTTTCAGCCATTTTGTTTTAGCACTATTTGGTGCCTGGACTGTGAACTGTTTCTTCAGGTGACACTCCTCAGGATGAGGAGACCAACTCTTGCTGGGACTGGTTGCAGGCTCTGGGTCCCAATTGTCAGCCTTCCTCACACCATCCTACTACCTGCTCTGCCATCTGCTGCGAGCCTGATCCTCACCTTCCACGACAGTAGTACTGCACGTCAGACCAGTGATCTCCTGTGCCAGCTCCTACACCTCCCCTGGACTGTGTTTTATGCCTATGGCGCTCACCTGGCTAGACCCAGTAAATTCTGCTACTCAGGTCCTCAGTATAACTATCAGTATTGCCATTCCTGTAGCATCCCTGTTACTCATTCTCATCCTCTGCTTTTCTTTAGCCAGCTGCACCTCTCCTACAACCTCGGGTGGTATCTCTAGCAGTCCAGTCAACCCAGCACTCCCCACTGCCCTGAGATCGCCTGACGAGACCGGTTCTGACCACTTCTCATTTCTGTAGTCATTAAAATACATTTACCTGGTCAAGTCTGAGTCTGAGTTCTACCTTTTTCTGAGTCCAAACTAGCACATATACGGTTCGCCGTAACAGTTTCAGCATAAGCTGAAACATTTTGAGCTTCATAAACACAGATGTTAAGGCAGGATTGTTGCATTGAATTCCACACAATTGCAAAGGTGTACCTAATAAAGTGGCCGATGAGTGTATATAGACTTGTTACTACTGTAGTGTACTTCACCACCTTGCAGTCTCGAGATCTGACATGGATTTTTTCATAGAGCTCACAATTGACGTGTGTGTCTGTCTTTGTCTGTGTGCATGTACACAGATATGTGTGTCAGTGTGCCTATGTCTGCAGAGGCATCTAAGAGCTCTTCACCTCTGCCAATATTTCCCATGTGTCAGAATCAAGGCTGTGAGTTGTTTCCTCTGATATCACTGTGGAGTTTGGTTCTGTCATGTGGCTATCACATTGGAGAGCTTTGTAGAGAGGAGTCATTAGCACTGGCTAGCAAATATATGCATATTCCTCCTCTCACGTATTCAGTGCCATCGAATTTACATGCCATAATGAGATTCTTCATAATATGATACAGCAAGATTATATTCCTGATGCATGAGGGAGCATGGCTGGGTATTAGTCTCAAGAACTTTGTTTTAATTATGTTTTTCATTAGGGGTTCTTTTGGAAATATTGTACTGCAGCAGTGTAGGGATGTGAATCTATATTATGTCATAAAGTGGACTTTCTGTTGAGTAGCTTGAAAACAGAACTTCACACTGGTGACGCACCATGAAAATCAGAGGTGTAAAGTAACTACATTTAGTCAAGTACTGTACTTAGTACAATTTTGAGGTAACTGTACTTGAGTATTTTCATTTTCTGCTACTTCATACTTTGACTTCACTACACTGTAGAGGCAAATATGACACTTTTTACTCTGCTACATTTACTGTATTTGATAACTTTAGTTAGTAGTTATTTTTCAGAATCAAATCCATAAAACCATATACAGTATAATCATAAGGCTTTACTGAGCCTCAATAGGAAATTTAAAAACTACTCAGCAGTACTGTAAATCACATTATAAGTATAAAATTGTTCAAATTAGCTGCAGTATTACCGGTTGCAACATTAAATGTCATGTACAAAATAATAAAATAATGACTATAATTCAATAATGTGATATACATTAATATGATGTGCCATTCTGCATAGTGAGTACTTTTATTTATTTGGTACTTTAAGTTTATTTTGTACTTTTATTTAAGTAACATTGTGAATGCAAGAATTTTACTTGTAACAAAGAATTTTGACAGTGTTAATGCTACTTTTATTTAAATAAAAGATCTTTGTACTTCTTCCACCATTGATAAAAAATATTCTTGCTTAATTCTTGTTTGTTTAATTAATTTTTTGAATGTTAAAATATTTCTCACATATTGAATTTTGAATGAATATCTCAAGGTTTCTTTTTAGTGTCTACAAATGCACGACTGAGGAAATGATGTGTGCAAGTAGAAAAGATATATACATGTTGGAGTAAAATAAATAAAAGTTGGTCAGAAAGCATAGTCAGTATCATAGAATATTTTAACTCTCAGTTTGATTCAAATCAAACTTTTCAATATTTACTAGACTTCTGTCTGTCCTGATAGCTTAGTCAATTTAGTGCAACAGAAACCTTGTCTGATGGGTTTACTGCTGTCAGGTTTGCCCGGTTGCACCTTCCTCTCTTTCTCTCTTTCTCACCCTAGTCTGTTCCTTTACACTGATTTTCTTGAATAGACACACCTGCCCTGATTTTCTGACACTCTTCAGCTGCGCCTCCTTTGTCACTCCTTATTTATACTCGGCTTTACTATCACTCCCTTGCTAGTTCTTTCTCTGTCGTCAGCCTCCCTTGTATTTATGTGTTGTGCTTATTCTCCTGATTCCACGTATGTTATTAATTCCTAGCGTCTCCTTTTTCTTACCTGGACCTCTCCTCTAGACCTTGGCATCCTCAGCTCCACCTACCACTATCACAGGTCAATGCACAATCTCCACATTCATTGAACTATCTGTTACCTCATCAGTCTACCGGATCTCCACTTTGACCAGCCCAGGAGTGACTCCTACCCCCCGCAGCCCGGTCTAACATCACTCCACGGACAATACCCCCTCCACTACTGTTGGTCAACACCCGGTGATTTCCTGCCTTCCATTTTGTATATATTTATTTGCACCTCTGTTAGCACTGTTAAATAAATTCACTACTTGCACCGAAGCCAGCCGCCTGGGTCTGTTAATTCTCTGCTCGCTCACAGTTGTGTCGAGCAATCCTAACAACTGCGTCTCGTATACAGATCAGGGATTTGAACCGCAAATGTCCCTAAAATCTGACTGAGGCTGTCAGGGGGAGGGAGGTAAATAGAACTAGATTGAAAAGAAGACAAATGAGACAAGAAAGACAAAGATAAAAAGAACATTTAACAATCACAACGCTCGTGCCTTTGAAAAATTTGCATCTCCCTCTTTTTCTGTCTCAATCATCGCAGCTGTCCTTCCTTTCCTGTCCTTCATACAGGTGCAGAGTTCCATCGCCTTAGGCCAGATGAGATTCTGTGCCAATCGTGGAACATACACAGGCGCACACACACACACACAAACAGAGGCCCCTTCCCCAGTCTCACACACACACTGTTACACATACACAAACTGATGAAATGACCAATTTCTTACACCTGGTAGCACTTTGATTTGTTACTTGTTCAGGGGGTGCAAAGGATTTTAATACGTGCAACTTAAAACTCCCTTTTCAATCCTGACAACACATCTCTCAGACTGGTCAGGGTGCCCACCAGCACCCCACCCTACACCCTTACCTACGTCATCTTCTCTCTTGCTTGTGCAGCACCTATCACCTCAGCTGAGCTACACCAGCTGGCAATTATTGCCCGGTGAGAATGTGACACTTTTCTCAAATCACTTAGCTGAGAGATTGCTTTTCTATATCCAGCCTGAAATTGTGTCTGGAGAAAAAAAAACACTAAAATGACAAAACAAAAGCTATGACTTGTCTACACAATTCTGAAACGTGTGCTCGCATACACCACATACATGTATAGGGATATTGAACCAACTGTACAGTTAAATATATATGCAGCAGCATGGGTGTGTTGTCAAGGCTGGATAGCTTATCAGCCTTTGTTGTATTTCACTGCATATAGAAATCACTCTTTATTTTGTTTTGTCATAAGCAGTAGTTTAAGTCCCTGTGTTTTCATATGAATTCGATAGAAAATTTCAAGTCAAAGGCTGAATGTATTCCATGACAGCATTTTATATCCAGAAAAAGTGAATTACAAATACATTATTTTTGGATATAGTACATCTGTCACCTCCTTCTCTGCACCAAAGACACCATTTCCTTATTTTTAAAGTAGTTAGCTAAGTGTTGCTGCGAGGCTGAAGGTTGAAGCGTCATTCAGAACACAGCCAATACTTCATGGCATCCTTTTGATCTTTTCAGAGAAACTTGGTTTAAAAATGCCAGGGTCCTCCAGCTGGCCTCAGGCAGCACTGATTAAACTGCCTTAGATGCCCAGTCAAGAATTCAGTCTGTTTTGAGATGATTCAGCAATCCACAAACCAAAACCTCAGAGTTTTATTTGTGTAGTTATTTGGACAGTGACAAAACATATACACGAAACGATGAAAGACAGTGGTTAATTAAAAAATCGAAATTAAGACTGCAACTGTGTGCAGATAAAGTACAAAGAACCCAAATGAGGCTATCTCACTCATTTTACAGCCCAACAAATGGCGCTACCTAGTTCATGGTGTTAATTTAACTCTGACTCAAACAAAGAAGTAATTTGCTTGTAGACATACTGCTAACTGATCTCACTCCTCCTACCACTCTCTTACATTCTGAAAGTTTTTTTTTCTTTCAAACACAAACAGTAGACACAGTGAACGCTTTCAGAATGCGACGCCTTTCTTTCTGTCAATTTTCCTGTGATATGTTTTTGTTTTTTATTCTTTCATTTTCAGCACCTATCAACCTCTCCTCAACCCATCCCACCTACTCCTCCTCTGCTTGTCTCTCAACTCATGTTTCTCATCAGAGGACTGTTTTTATTCCCACCCCTTCACGTCCAGCCCATCGTCCCCTGAGGGGCCCCTTACTGAATTCTGGCAGAGATTGAAAACAGGAGCTATGGGGAACTGACAGTCCTTTTCAATATTTAATATTTTAACATTTAATTCAAAGCACTGCCATGTGCCCCTTCTTTCTCTGTTTCTCTTTCTGTCTAAGATGTGCAGTGCAGAGCATAGTGTATAGTATATACTGTATACTCTTGTTGACTATTTTGCCAAATGACAGGACAATGCGCTCTTTCTCCTTCTTTCTTGATCTTTCCATTCACAATTCTCCTATTCCAACACTAACTTCATCACTAATGTTTGTAAAAACATGAATATAATTGACTTGAATTTACACATTTTAAAGCTGAGAAAGTTTGTTTTAGATATTGAGAAGTTTATGAAAAGCCCCAAATTGTGTGTTAGTGGTGAAGAAAGGAGAATTATGTGATAGTAGTAGGAAATACATGATTTCACCTCCGTGTTACAGCTGCCGGGCATATTGTCAGTAATTCCCTATTAAAACTCCATTGTTAATAAAGCTGACACTTAATTTACTTAGCTGTAAATTATTTTATCTGTAAATTAATATCAAAAACAGTCCAGTCACAGTATCATCCCACAATGATGCATGCTGTGACACACTCTTGAGAGTTAGCATTTGGAGAAGCTCTTATGACTGAAAGTATTCTCCACTCCCACAGCACCTTACAGATGAACTCAAAAACCTTCATCAAAACAACCTGTCCTGTTGCAGCTATGTTCATTTGAACTGATTTTAAACTAGTTGTTTCTACAGTGCAAAGACTACAGGAGGCCTGCACACCCAAATCTAGAAAAAGTCTTCTCTTATTTTGATATACATATATATATTTTAATCTTGT